GGAGAGATCCCACCAGGAGGGAAGCCCCGTGCTCCCTGCAAACCATATCAACACCCTCAAGCTAAGTTCGCCCAAGTTCCCGGCAGCCGCAGGTCAGCCATGCCTACTGGCCATTACGGACAGCCCTGCCCCCTCTTTATCCAAGTATGTGTTACACACGCTAACCTCTCAGCCAGCAGTGATAACCCCATTTGGTAATGAGTCATCTTGTTAATGAGATGGGGTTAGCGTAGGGTGTAGGTCTTGAATCAATCTCCTTTGCCAAAGGAGAGAGAGTTAGCAAGCAAGCTGGCAAACTGAAAAGGCCATGGCAGATGCCAAGCCACGTGGAGATGGCCCAGAAGCGGAGCCATCTGCACACGATGGCAGAGAGAGAAGGCCTTTCCCTGGACCCGAGGCCCTGAGTTTAAGCTGCTCATCTCCTGAACTGGGAGAAAATCCCTTCCTTGGTGAACGGCAGCCGTCCACCTGTGCTGTCTGGGTGAGCAGCACCAGGTGACTAAGCCCGGGGCCATGTGTGAGGAGACCTCTGCTGCCCAGCAGGGTGAACAGTGTAAGGCCTCCACCTCCGCAGACCAAACTGGAGAAACTGGCACGGTGCCTGCGGGTCACCCCTGACTCTTCACTCTCTTCCCGCCTGCCCCTCTTCTCCCTTCTCCTTTATCCATGTTGCTGGCTGCAGGGACGAGGAAAGGCAGGCTGGCTAATGGGGAGAGGTGGGTCTTGTGACTAAAGCCTGGCTCCTCTGAGTTGTCTGAGCCCTTGGGTAAGCTAGATGCCCTGCTCCTTGCCTCACAGTCCCTCCTTGCAGCACGATGAATGCTTCGGTCTCTGCACAATCCCAGTGAGAGCGGCGAACATAGACGGTCACCTTCTTCCCACCGTCACAAGACACCAGAGGCCCTACTAGAACCCATCACAGAAAAGGTGGCCTCCCCTCCCCACCACGTGACTCCCAAAGCATCACTCACTCGTCTTCAGACAAATATCCAGCATCCACCTGGGGCTCTTTCTCCTCTTTCACGGCACTTGCTACCACCTGTGAAGAGGAGCAGGCGTCGGTCAGGGACCAGGGATGAGGAGTGAGCATCAGCGTCCAAGGATCAGACTCAGGTGATGACCTGGGGGTGCTCACAGGGAAATGCATGCGCCCTGAGCTTCCTCCTACCAAATGAGTCGCTGTTGAGTGGAACATTCCAACTGGGGACCCTAACTGAGAAACAAGACCCTGGATTTCAAGTCACCGTGGTCCCTGGATGGTGCATTAAAAGACCTGTTTGTTGGAAAGCCTGGGATCCTAAGGGCCAGCTCTGCCGCTCCTTCTGTCCTTAGAAAGTGTGGCAGCTCTGTGTGAAGTTCTAGGGGTGGGTTACTACTGCGTGTCCTCAGAGGGGAAAAGACAGCAGGTGCAGTGTGTTTGACAAACAAAGCTCACCTCCAGGCAGGAGCTTCAACTTGTCAAGAGAGAACTACAAAGAACTCCCTAAAGATGAGCCCAGCTTTCTAGAATATTTGTGTCCCTTAATGGCGAAAGCTAAGGTTTGGTGCTTTCCTTGTGCCAGGCACTGTACAAGTCAGCCGGGTCCTGTGGGGGCTGCTGTCAGGCTCATTTGAAGGACAAGAGGCCCGAGACAGAGGGAGGTGGTGCCCTGTGGAAGCATTTACTAGCAGAGCTGAACATGAGAAGTGATCTCTCAGTCTCCCGACCTGTGCCCTCTCCACCCCTCCAGCACAATAGTGGGAACCCTAAGGGTTGATCCAGAAACTAGAGTCTTGGTAGGTGCCAGAATCTAAGCAGATTGAGTGAGACAAAGCAAAGAAGAGGCAGCAGAGTCCCCACACCCACCCCAAAGCCAATTGTGAACACCACAGGGGTCTCTGGGCCTTGTCTGGCCACTGGCCTCTGCCTCACTCTCCACCACATGTGTTATGGGGCAGCAGCCCACGTGGAGTGGACCAGCACGTCCCTCATGGGTGGCTTGTTGCTTTCTGAGAGTTTTGTCTTACCTCTTCAGCATGGTTGCCCAGATCAATCTCCACAAATGTAGAAGGCTTCTGTGAATGGAAACAAGGTGACAGGGCTCAGGTGACAATAGGGAAGAAAGTGGACTTCATCGGAGACACAGTCGCCCTGTGGCCCAAGTGCCACGTGGGGCTTGGCTGATCCCCGCTGGCTTCATCAGACACTGACAATGTGTAGTGGTAAGCGCCGGAGAGGCCCGGCTCAACCACTAATGGCAAAATAGAGAGGGAGGGGTCCACAGGACCAGCTCCCTTAGTGACAAGACTCCGTAGGGACTGACTTCTCTCTCCTCCACGTGTCATCTGATCCCTTAGAACCCAGAGGACCTCCTCCCCTTGGGTCGTCTGAGAACCAGGGTGTCTAAGGGTGGGCTCAATTCCCAGAACTGCAAGTCCCACCCCACCCCCACTTCCCTGCCAGGCCTACTCAACGGGGCAGAACTTGGAAACCTCCTCCTTGGAAACACCGACCTGCGGTCCTCTCTCTCCACCCCGTTGGTCAGCGGTGTGTACTAGGAGGTGAGTGGCCTGAGCAGCTCAGGGTGCTGCTGTTGTAAAGTCTTTGGTTGGAAATGTTGGTTCAGGCCAGGCATGCGTGGACTAACGTGTGATGGTAGGCCCTGGAGCTGAACCAAGGAGGATCTACTGCCATTCCTGGTTCAGACAAACAAAATGTAACCAGTACCATTCCTTACTCCTTGGGGCAGGAGAATCAAAGCCACCTCCCATCATGAATTCCCCTGTGAGGATTCCGAATATAGCCCTCACGTGGGGGTCTACAGCTGACGCCTCAGGGTGGGGCTGTGGCGGCTTTGGGAGTGTTTTTCTGGGTATAGGCTGCACAGGACCCCTCGCACACCTTTGGCAACCGACTATGTGGCAGGCTGAGATTCAGACACCCCGGGGACTCAGCCAAGGAAGCACGCAACTGGGCACCTGGAGTTTCTCTAAGGACAGCGGTTGACTCAGTTCAGTGGGTGCGGCCTATTGTGATGACCCCTAAGATCAATTTGTCGTGCCTGACAATCTTACTTCTATTACGAAAGTAAACCGCCCTTGCCTCTGTTTGCAGAAGGTGGTCTAGCTTCAGGGAGGTCAGTGCCTCTGCCTGTAAAGCAGAAGAAGACCAAGTTGGTAAACAGAGGCAGGACTCGCCCAGAGGGAGCCAACGGTTAGATACCAAACAAATATCGCCTGACCTTGGCCTCTTGGAGGTGTTTGTCAGCATCCTCCTCTTCCTCCTTGATGCTGACCTTGGAGTCACTCTTTCCAGTCTCGGGTCCCACTATCTCACCATCGCGGACCAACGTCCCAGGTGCTTCCTGACTCTTTTCCTTCTTGACTTCTAGGTTGGTCTGACTAGGTACATGGACAAAAATGGCATGGAATAGACATCAGTAGGAGGCCGTTTAAGCCAACATCTGTTCTTCCTCTTGAAGCAGTGGCGGTTGGGAGCTCCTGGGAATAATGGCAGTTGAGGCTATGAGATGACCATGTGTTGTGACTCACTATTGTTGGGACCCATTGAGTCGATTCTGACTCAGAGTGACCCTTGTGACAGAGTCGAACCTCACTGGGTATCCTAGGCTGTAATTATTATAGAAGCAGAACAGTAGTGGAGCCTGCTGTGGGGACTGAACTACCAATGCTTTGGTTCAGCTGCTGAATGCTTAACAATTGCTCCACTAGGCTACTGTCTCCTTGATGTTGGTACAGACCATGCTATAAAACCAAATACATGGCCAACAAGTGGATTCTGACTCCTAGTGACCCTATAGGACAGGGTAGAACTGCCCCTGTGGGTTTCTGAGACTCTAAGTCTTTACTGGAGTAGAAAGCCTCATCCTTCTCCCACAGAGCAGATGGTAGTTTCGAACTGCCAACCTCCCAGTTAGCAACCAAACACATCACCTACTATGCCACCAGGGCTCCTCTAGACTATGCTATAGAGGCCCTGAAGTTTAAAGATCCTGCTTGTATGAACAAGCCTGGCTTTCTCGCCTCCCTGTGATGACCCATTTTTTTCCTGGAGAAGCTTACCCCAAACAAAATCCAGCCCAATGCTGGACTGGATTAGCATTTATAGCTAACCAAGTTTCATTTCACAAAGCAATGCCTACCCTTGCTCATGGAATGAAACGGGCCAACACCAACCAAAAATTATGCTCATCCTGGCCATAGTCTAATGGATGACAGCAAATGGGACCAAGCGACTTGATGGGCTACATGAGGTCTGTGGCTGATTCTGCTGTTACTCATACCCAGCTGAGTGACAACCTTGTCCCATTTGGCCATTTGTGGGGTGTGTTTAGGAGCAAGAGGAATGTGTGCCACCGTGCAGACAGTGGGAGCTGGTGCCAGCATCACTTGGGCTGACTTTTGGACGGTGCCTGGCTCTTGAATTGGTCAACATGAGTACACCGTGTCGCAGGGACTCCGTGAAGAGGTGGCGTTGTCCCTGCTCAGCACTGACGTTGACAGGAGGCTATCACCTTCTTTAAACCCTGCAGGGAAGAGCTTCTCCAGGCCTGCCACACACGTTTTCCTCTGACACAGGAGCACTCAGCTCACGTTGTCCCTCGACTGTCCTTGGATGTGGTTTTTATGTTAGTGACCAGTTCCCTTGCTGGGCTCCAACCAGAAGGAACCATTTGTAAACCAGAGAGACTTATGTCTGGTGGTTGGTCTAAGATGCCAAAGATTATTTCTAGTAGAATTTGAGGGGCAGGGGGAAGAAAATCCTGGTCAATTCAGTAAATTTTAACTTCTCCTTGCTTGGGGAAGACTGGGGGTTGGAGAAACTGGGCCCAGGACTACCTCCTGGGGAAGCAGCCGAGGGAAGGTGGACACACAAATAATCGGAGAAGGTGGCTGAGCGGAAAGACAAAGGCACCCTCAATGCGGCGATCTCTGCCTAGATGGCTCCTCTCTTGGAAAACCACACCCCTTCCACTTGCTGATTTGGTTATGTTCATCTTATCATCACTGTCACATTGTTAGATGTCACGTGGTACCCAGACGGTTCTGTACAACAGAATGCAACGCTGCTCAGTACAGCAGCACCCTCACAGTCTTTCCAGAAGGATGTGCCCCCCAACGCTGTAGTCTCTGTGTCATTCCATCTCACTGAGGGGCTTCCTCGTTTTCCCTGACCCTCTGATGCCCCACACATAATGTCCTTCTTCAAAGGACGTGAGCCAAAGTCTCGCCATCTTCACTTCTAAGGAGTATTCTGGTTGTACTTCTTCCAACAGAGACTTGTCTGTTCTTCTGCCAGTCCCTGAGCTACTTATTGTTCTTCAAGGACACCATCCATCAAGAGCAGCCATTCTTCTTCAATGGCCCCAACAAATAAGCCCTCGGAGGAGCCCTCAGGGTCTGTCTGGGTGAGACAATGCTTGTCTTCTGAGTCGGGCTGCTCTCGGACACCATGGATGGACCAGACATGGCTGGCATTGCCCGAGGACAAGCGGTGGAAGGGAGGAGAAGTTTACTCACTGAGCACCTCCCAAAGTCCAACCAAGTTCCATGACCACACCTTCCCCTAGCTAGAGAGGACATCTCAGACACATCCCCTATCTCAGTGCTCTGGTGCCTCTGGTGCCCTCCCAAGTCTTGACTCGGTGCCCGGCCCTCTCTGCCTGCACTCACCATTTCTAGCGGTGCTTCTCACCACTTTCAGCGAAGCATCTCCCTAGGGTTCAAGGCTGGAAAACAAGGTGGCCCGCTTACCAGCTAACGTCTTCGACTTCACTTCTGGAGTCTTTCCCCTGATCTTCAGACTCTGAGAAGAAAAGAAGTACTTGTCAGTGCGTTCTTTAGCTGTGTCTGTGCAGCACGCATGCCCTACCAGGGTCCCTGGAGGAGCCGAGGGTTGGGGATCAAGGACGGCCTTCTGGGAGCTCCCTCCTCAAGCACATGTCTAGAAAACATCTCCTGATGCTGCCGTGCTGGGTTCTATGGAGCCCCTAGCTGGCCATGCTAAGGTATCAATTTGAGGACTCACTGTTATTGCTGAAGTCAAGTTTGAGCATTCACCTTGGTCTGGTTTCCCACCTCATTCCTATGCCCTAACGTGCTGCACACTTCTGTACTTGTTTTCCTCAGCACCTCACACAGCCCCATCTTAAACCCACCTCGGAGCACATTGCCAGAGTGCCAGCAGCTTCCCATGTGGTCCGCAGGGCCCCGAGGCCGGCACAAGTTCCCCACGTCATGCGTGTATCCTTTCCACCCTGACACATCCTACGGGCTCACGGAATCATGTCTGGAGAACTTAGTATCGTGTAGTCACTATGCTCAAAGGTCTTTACAATAAATTCTTTTCCTCTTCCAGACTTAGTGGGAACCTCTTGGAATCCCTCTTGATCCTACTGTTATGGGTTTCGAGCCTCTCCACTCCTCGGTTCTTGTCCCGCTATCAAGAAAGATTTCAGTCCAGGGACAGAAAAGGTTTGGACAGAACGAGTGAGTTCCCTGAACGGGCCCTTAACCAAACTAGAAAATGAAACCCACTGCCATCAAGGCACTTCGGACTTCTGACCACCCTGTAGGGCAGGCTCAAATGGTCCCTGTGGGCTGCTTTCTTCCCACTCTCCAACTCACTGCCATTGAGTCATTGCTGACTTCTAGAGCCCCTCTGTGGGTTTCTGAGACTAACTGTTTACGGCAGTAAAGTCTCATCTTTCTCCGAGGAGCTGCTGCTGGTTTCGAACTGTGGACCGTGTGGATCGCAGTCTGACTCATAACCACATGGTAGGTTTATTCGCTAGTCTAAAAAGCTTGGTAGAATGTAGAGCCAGAACTTTGACTTGGATCATGACAGACCTTCCTCCACTGGCTGGTCTTCTAGCAGGTCTCTTGCTAGAAATGTTGGTTCTTGTAGCGTGGTTCCTTGTTCCAGGTATGGTCTTGCCTGCACCCCTGCACCTAAGATTACATGCCATGCCCTTGTCTCCAGACCCCAAACCCAACAGGCTATTCAGTCATTGTCAGGAGAATAGGAACATCCCATCTTTCTTTACACAGCCTTTTGGCCATCTCTGGTCTCTTCCGTTGAGGAAAGGTGTCTGATCTGTCCTTTGCTTTCTGAGTTAGTTAGTTTATTGTGCCAACCTGGCCAATAAACACATGTGGGGTTAATTGAAGGGCAGACGGATAAATGGCTCGGTGAGCCTCGCCTTTCTAGTTCTCATGTCTCTTGCTTTGTGATGGTCGCACTGGGATGCAGCTGCCTTAGCAGTTCCCTGCTTCAGCTTGCAAGACTGACTTCCTACAAGACATCCCCAAGGAGAAGCCGCATGGACCTACCCCGATGCAGCCCTGGGTGCTGGAGCAGCCGTGTGGAGACCCCTGCCAGCGCTGAGATGTTTACACGCTCACTGATTCGGCTTTCCTCCTGCAGTCAGTGTCATAGTGTGTGTTTTGTGAGATGGAGGAGGACTTTGTGGACTGGTGTTGGACATACGGGTTAATGTTGGACTTGTGGGCTGGGGCAGCACTGGATTGGGATGTTTTCTTGATGCACACTTACCCTTCATATAAAACTCTCTCTTCTACATGAGTTGCTGTGGATTTGTTTCTCTAAAGTAGCCAGAATGACACACGTTCTTTGTGCTGTTATGTGGGAAACACGTCTCCACTTCTCCTGTGTGTCGCGATTCCTGTCAACCTCACCTCTTCGCCCTTTGCCCACTACCATCTACCTGATACCAGGAACACTAATCCCAACCCCCTGCCATCGATTCCATCTGACAGAGCAGACCTGCCCCAGAGGATTCGCAAGGCAGTACAGCTTTATGGAGGAACAATGACTGGTGGGTTCAAACCACTGACCTTTTGATTAGCAGCCAATCACTTTAATCACCATCCTACGGGGGCCCATCTTGGTCCCACCAATGGTCTGGAAACCCACAGCAGGAGCAAGAGAGGTGAGGTCCATGTTGGCCACTTCTTAAAGAGTGCCATCTCCCACCAGTGAATGTCAGTCAATGGTGAAGGGGGTGAGTCTAAGTCCCTGGAAGGCACCCCTTGAATCTACAATCTGATTGTGAGCATGCTGTTGACTATTATTTCCTCCTGGTTCCCCTGAGGGTCATTATCAAGGTGTTCTTAGTATAATCCTTGTTCCATAAAAAAAAAAAAAGACACTTAATCGCCAGGTGGTAAGGATTTTTAAACCATGTGTAAGAGAGAAGAGGACAACTGGTCAGTTTATTAGAGGAGCCCTGGTGGTTTACTGGGTTACACACTGGGCTGCTAACTGCAAGGTCCGCAGTTCAAATCACCAGCCACTCTTAGGGAGAAAGAAACAATGAGGAGCTGATACCAAGGGCTTCAGTAGAAAGAAAATGTTTTGAAAATGATGATGGCAACAGATGTACAAATATGGATGACACAATGGATGTAAGGATTGTTGTAAGAGCTGTAAAAGCCCACAATAAAATGATTTATTTAAAAAAAATGAATTGTCATCACAGAAACCCACAGGGACATTTCTAGCCTGGCCTTAGGGATGCTATGAGTCAGCACTCACTCCATGACAGTGAGCTTGAGTTTATCTTTTTGGGTCAGTTTATTGGAACTTCCTGAGGTTAAGGGAACTGGGGATGCAAAAATACTCTTCCAATCCCCGCCTTCTTTCAGAAATTTTTGGCAATCAACAATCAAGGCAAAATTACCTTCAGATTGTTGGGTAGGAAAGAGCACTTGCCCCAGCAGCCCTCATTTTCCATGATCACAGAAGGGAGAGATAGATGGTTTACTGTATTTTAATGCAATGTAAACGTCTGTGTATCCAGAAAGTTTGCAAGCAGTATACTTCTTCTTTTTTTTTTTTAAAGGCTGCTGTTGAAAATAGACACAGCAGGGCTAACGCCAATTCGATGATTTCTGCTTGTTCGATTCAAGGACACCGGGTGGCATTCCTCCAGTTTTGCACCCATTCTCACCTGTTTGCCGAATGGTTGCTCCTGTGTTCCCATCAACTCACCACCCCGAGGCCTCCTAGCTAATCTCTTCAGCTGTTGGCAACCTGGCCCCTTGAAGCTGGTTCTTTACAAGACAAGTCTCAAAGCAGAGATTCTTAACTCCTCAAGCTAAAGCAATCAGCAGACCTCTTGGAAGGAAAGTTACATTATAGGTGATTTTCCTAATTTTTTTTTTTAAGGATCCAACAATGCCCTCTGCTATAGCAAAGTGTGGTGCAGAAACCAGATGGCATCCAGCTGTCATAAGTAATAACATCTGGGGTCTTAAAGGCCTGTATTCTAACAAACAGCCATCTAAGTGAGGTGTCCATGAAATCCACATGGAGGAAGCATGCCAGTCTGTATGGTGCAAGGTTATAAATAATAAAATCCAAATCTAGAGGAGGGAACGGTTGAAATGCTGAACACCTGGTTTGCAGAGGGCTACGGAGGACAGTGGAAGCCCAAAGTCTATTTACAGGGGTTAAGCCTCTGGTGAACCCTCTCTGACCATAGTCCAGGGACGTGAATAGCCTTGCGCTCAGACAGAGAACACTGTTATGGTAATTATGGCAGTTCTAGTTGGGTGAAAATGTAGCATCTTGTCATATGATCTCCCTTTTGACCCATTTTAAAGTTGGTTCTGTTTTTAATGTTTTTTGCTTTCGTTTGATTGAGGTTTTTGTTTTGATGTTATTGAGTTTTTTTGTTCATTTGCTTGCTTCCTGTTTCTATGTTGAATGATTTTCTTTCTGTGTATGAAATCCAGGACAGGTAAATCTAGAGGGACAGTAGCTGGATTAATAATTACCCTGGGGCGTGGTAGGGGAGGTGGGGGTGGGGCGTGGGAAGCTAACAGTGATGAGTTATGACAAAGAAATGTTTTGAAATGGACTGGGGCGATGATCGTACAACACTTCTTAATATGCGTGGAGGATCAGATTGAATGGCAGATGAAGTATATGCCTAAAACTATTAAAAAGAAAGAAAAGATGTCCCTTGAAGAGTTCATGCCACATGAGGCCCTAGGCAGCCCCTGGGAATGGACTGGGGTTGGCGGTACGTCTTGTAGTTCATCGGAGTTTCTTTAAACTTGTTAGCTCTCAAGATGCCCCTGAGGGAGGAAAGGCAATGGGGCTTGACACTATAGTTAATTAACCTCAGATAATGAGGAACCTGATGATTTTAAATCCATCGTTTTTTAGCATAGACTTAAAACTTAATTTGTTTAAAGCAAAACAAAAAAAACTCCAGCAGCTAACATATATTATCTGTATGCAGCTGTGTGTATGTGTGTTGGGAAACACTTCATATCTTGCTTTTTTTCCAATAAAAATGTATCTGGTTACAAGTAAAAGTCATTGAAAGGAAAGGCATGACTTTTCTTTTATCCAAAGCACGGTAGAGAAGCACTCTGTCTGGTTCCTTCACCCAAATGCATCTCTTAGGATAAAGTAACAATCACGAATGGATATGTTTGTGGGCTTTCTCCCTTTGTGAAGAAAGACCCGGTGCCTGGTGGGCTCCAGGCTTGCTGAGGCGGTGGGGGGCTAGAGGACGAAGTGGGGGATCCTGGCAAAGGCAGAGTGTTTCACAGCAGTGCTAGAAAGTGCGGTTCTTGGGAGCTGTGGAGTTTGTTAGGAGAATGATGGGAGAAGTAGGGTGCTTAGACATTTCTCTGTATTATCCGAATAGAATATTTCCTTTGCTGGCCCTCTCCAACTAAGACTTAAATGGTGTCAAGCCATGTGTGGGTTACTTTCATTTGAAGGGGAGTATAGTGGTTATGAATTGGACTTCGATCCACCAGGCCAGC